CATATCCAAATCTTTTATACGACTTCTTGACTTACTTTATACATAACCATAGAGATGTATTGGAAATTGTGGGTAGAATACCGCTGATACCTGAGTCCTATTAAACTGTTTCACTTGTTATTGAAAACTTTAAAAGTGTCCGTCATCAAAATGATCAGAATTTAGGGAAAAACACTTGGAAAATCAATCAAATAATAAACGGATTACTCTTAGCCAACAATGAAAACCTACTTTTAACCTATGAAGAAGCTGATGTACTCTGCACAAATTAAACTCAAATCATTCATCACTAACGTTTGAATGATTCTTCTCAAGATCCAAGACTGATAAATATAGGCAAACATTGGTTATATTGAATCAACGCTTTAGATTTGGTTGTGTTGTCTGAGCTGGATAGCTAATTTGCGAAGCTTTCATTACCCTACTTACTAGGCAACATTTTCAGCGCATACTTCAATTCGAATTGAAGTGAACTTTTAAATTTCTCCTCGAGTTCACCATTAGTCGTATATCCTACTGACCTTGGACGCGATTGATTGTTTATTTGTGTTTTCACACCCTCTAAGCTACTTGTATTGGAACAGATTGTTTCCTTGACTTGAACTTTGGCCATTTGTGTGTGAGGTTTCTTTCTTATCGGTTGGTGAATTTCATCTATCTCGATGTGTCTACTGATTGATGATTCACTGGAATACCAGGCAGCCTTCTCAAAATCCTCCTGCTGGCATTCTTGGTGTTTCTTCTGTCTAATATTTGAACGTTGGTTGTCGCAGTCGAATTGATGTCCATGGTTGTCTGTATGTAGTGATATAAGGGAATGGATTTCATGTCTTTTGACGGTTAGTTTATGGTCATGCATACGAAGACTAAGGGGACGTTTATTCCCTCATATAACGATATACAGACAACCATGGACATCAATTCGACTGCGACAACCAACGTTCAAATATTAGACAGAAGAAACACCAAGAATGCCAGCAGGAGGATTTTGAGAAGGCTGCCTGGTATTCCAGTGAATCATCAATCAGTAGACACATCGAGATAGATGAAATTCACCAACCGATAAGAAAGAAACCTCACACACAAATGGCCAAAGTTCAAGTCAAGGAAACAATCTGTTCCAATACAAGTAGCTTAGAGGGTGTGAAAACACACAGTAACCCCCAATCATGTTCAAGGTCACCAGGAGCGATAGCTAATAAAATCGTTGAGAAATCTGAAAGCTCACTTCGAGGAACTGATGTATGCGCTGAAGATGTTTCCTAGTAAGTAGGGTAATGAAATCTTCGGAAATTAGCTATCCATCTCAGAGAACATAACCACATCAAAATCATCCACCTTAGCTATAAATCTTCTTCATCATATCTTAATCAACTCTATTTAATCCTCAAGTTTCCATTCAACTTTTAGATATTGTGTGTAAGAAAGCCTTTCATTGGTGGCTCTAAATGATCAATACTAGTACGTGACGAAATCTAAAAAAGGAAACTATAAATACAACTTATGGACTAAAAAAATCCCACCAACTTTGAATGAGTTACATATTAGTTATTTTCTGTTTTCTTCAAATAAATATCCCACCAACAGTTTGCACTTCATTTTAATGAAACAAAGATACCAGAGAAGGAAATTCTCTTTTCGATGACTTCAAATTTCATAACCGTACAGCCATACTTGTATATTAATTGTGGTAGAAAATAACAAGTAGTTTGGTTGTGTGTGTGTGTGTTTGATTGTGCCAATGATTGGGACTACTAACGTGCGACAAACTGATTAGGAATATGAAAGAAGGTAAAGAAAGTTCAGGACAAAGTTTATTAGATATGCAGAGACAGATCACAGGAAGCCACATCATTTAACAAATTCTACAAGGTCCAAAAATATTTACCGGAAGGGATATGAATGTATTCTGCTTTGTATAGCTTAAGTTTTGGTAATGCATAACATTAGGGCCAGAACTTTCAGTATAAAGAAAATTTTCACACTGTGTTTCGTTACCATGATCTTAATTTTTTTAAATATGATTCGCAGAACCCCTTTAGCTTATATATTCCATGTTACTTTAGATTTTGTTGTGTTCTCCTTCACTTTGCGTGATCATATTCTAAAATATTTTATTGATGACAGTTCACTCACCTTGTTTTCCTATCTTATTGGATTTAAACATGACAAATTTGCTATCTTTATTAATCTACCATTCAAGGGCGACCAGATTATGCAGTTGACAGCTCAAAGACTTCGGTCAGCCATCAAACGCACATTCTACGCCACATCTCTTTTTCTCACTTGCCGAACATTTTCGATCCCTGTACCTACGATTAAAGGACGAAATTCTGTGATATCTACTTCAAACTGTATCTACAAGTTCACCTGCAGCTGCGGTGACACCTATATAGGTAGAACTAACAGAATGTTCCAATGTCGTCGAAAAGAACAAATTCCAAAATGGCTAGTAAATCATATCGAAAATCCTAACGCGATTAATCTTAATAGAAATCCAGCATCATCCATTGCAAAACACTTATTAATGTCTGGTCACAAAATAAATATTAATGACTGTTTCACAATTATTTCACATAACTCTAATTCAAGGTTATTCAAGGTGATGGAAGCACTTTGGATTAATCACATACAGCCTAAACTGTGTGTACAAAAATCAATAGACTTCAATCTTCGCCTACCCTGGACTGCATGACCTATCTTAATATGATTGGTCATTAGTATGTACTTTTGTTTTTATTTAACTGAGTAATTTTCATGAACTTTATTTTATCATTGTTAACCATGTTAGTTGTAAAGCGGTTGTAAAGAAACTACGAAATGATATCATCTCGCGAAATTTGTCTTCTTAATGCCTCATTCAAATATATTCATGTTTGGAGTCCAGTACTCCCAGGTTTTCCAGTGGTTCTCTAACTGATGTCAGCTCATGATTAAATCCTCCATGCAATCAAACAAAATCCCTACAAAAACCAATACTTGAATATTCATGTTTCCGAATGTCCTTTATCTTCCTGTCATCTGTTTAACGTGTAACTGTTGAACTTAATGTTGATCTTTATTTATTTAGTTATTCATTTACATGTCTGCTGGCTTTGTGATTCATAATCATATACAGAGGTATTATCGCAATTTTGTATTTTCGTTCGTTTTTGAAAATTTTTAACTCACACACAACATAAACTATCTGTTATTGTCTATTGTAATTCACACATAAGTAAAATTGGCTAGTGGTCGCGCTATGTTGTAAGTTGGAATTCGTAGGCTGGCCATTGGATTGGGTCTCAGTAGCTTAATAATCTACGAGTTAGTTCGCCTTGTAACCAGAAGGTCCTAGGTTCGAACCCTGGGGGTGGGTGCGTACTGTCGAATAGTCCAAAAATAGACTGTCGAAATAGCTGTCCAGTACTCCCTGGCCGGTTTTCCAAAGTTTCTCTTACTGATAACAGCGTATGATGAGATCCTGCAACCATATAACTGTTGAGGTGTGAAACTTGAAACAGAGGTGTGAAATACTTGTGGACTATACTGGCTGACCAGAACTCTGGTATTCGCAGAATTTAAAATGTTCTATAGTTTGGTTTTTAAGGGTTAGTTATGTTTTTACGAGCTGATCATGGATTAATATCAGTTAGAGAACCATTGAAAACCAGCACTGGAGTACCGACACCTGCTTCATCCTAGTTTGAGTATCATCATCAGTACGAACCCGCTGACACGGTTCGAACCCAGAACCTTCTGGTTACAAGGCAAGCTGGCTCGTATACCATTCAGCCACTGGGACCCGATTCAGTGGCCAGCTCTTGAATTCTAACTTCTACTACTTCGTGATTTAGCGCGAACCCAACCATTGTCGTAGGTAGGAAATCCATCCTCACACGTGACATCTAATTGAACCTCACTGGTCAAGATCTCTCACTAGAACTCCAGGAAACTCCATCCTGTAGCAAGTCACTAGGTGGGAGGATCAGTGATGTGTAACTCTTTCAGAGTTGGTGGGGATTTCATAGGTTTTATGTATATGGTTTTGCTACATACAACATTGAAAGTCGGGAAGATTCCCCTTGCTTAAATAGAGCTGACTCAATGTCATTAATCTCTACATAACTTTACCAACCATCCTAACACTTTCCACGAATGATTTGAGTTTAATTTGTGTAGGGCACAATAGTTTCTTCGCAAGCGTCAAACAGTGCGATTGCGCGACATTTATTGGACACCGGTTATATTGTAGACAACCTGAAGTCGTTCAAATAATCAACAAGCAAAAGAAACCTAGCTTGCTACACTTTGCTGAAGCAGTTGCTATCAAACGACTTAAACCAAATCTATGTGTGCAGAAAGGGACAGTGGGGAATCTTGCACTGCCCTGGTGATAACCAGAAATATACAACTTTCATGAGTCACCCTTTTTCTTGTTAAGAAAACTTTACTCTCTCATCTAAACATGATTCACCCTACCTTGTTTCTTTTCTTTCCTTTTTTCTATTGGCTATTAGATAAGACGTTTTCTGCAGTTACGTAATCTACTTTTTTGTTATGCTCTTTCTAGCTAAACCTTGTTTCTATACGCACACATATATGTATATACGCAACCCTGTTTTTTGTTTCCAAGCCTAATTGTCTAATTATTCTATAAATAGTCAGTGTTTGTAACTCCTAATCAGTTAAATCATTCCGGACTAGTGTTACTTTTAATTCCTATCAATTACTCCTTGTGATCGTGGAAAAGCATGTTCAAATCTTTAATGTCATTCATATTTTTATCGTTCAGGTTATAACCATTTGAGAAGAATCCTCGAAATAATAAAAGATGAGCTCATATTATCCTGGTACAATTGTTGCTCTTGCTTTGTTCAAATTTATTAATGGGAAGAATTGCATAAAGTTTCTTCGTAGATTCAAATAAGTCTTCATTGAAGTTTAACGGCAAGCCGGTTTATTATATCACATTGATGGATTATTAAGTAAATTCAGCAAAGACTTGAGATAATTATTACCTGATTTTTGGTCCATTATAACTTGATCCACTGACAGTACTACTAAAACGATTAAAATTTATTTGATTCAACTGAGATGTAGCTGTACTATGTCCAGTTGATGATATGTCAAACTCTTCTGACTGCTTCTCTTTAGTATTCTTCCTTCTGATTCTTATCGATTGATCAGAATATTCATTTACCATAGAGTTTATAGAGATCAAACGAATTTGAACACGTTGATTTCGTTTACCAATTAACATCCAATTACATAACAATGATTCATGGTGTTTATCATTACGATAATGTGATTCATGATACTTTATTAAGGTGTCCTTTAAATTAAAACTTTGGAATGTTGATGACCGCTGTTGATCATTAGCTTCAATTATGAATGAACATGTTTCTGTAAATAAATAGAAATATTTCAAGGAAAAAAATATTCTGCTGCGTTTATTTTTGAAATGAAAACTTTTATATATAGGCATAAGAAATCCTGTAACCAATCAATTAAATCCGTGCAGAACTATACTTAAATACCAATGACATGCTCACTAGCGAATTGTTTTATTCAGGTAGGTAGTTTCGTGGGGTTCTAGTGGGAATTTGTGATCAATAGGGTACAACAGGTTGGGTATGAGGATAAATAATCGCCGCAGACATTGGCTAGTGGTCGCGCTAAGTCGTGAATTGGTAGAGATTGGAATTCATAGGCTGACGATTGGACCAGGTCCCAGTTGCTTAATGGTCTACGGGCTAGCTGGCCTTGTAACCAGAAGATCGTAAATTCGAACCCTGTAGGTGGGTACCCACTGATGAAAAGTCCAAAACTAGGCTGTTGAAGAAGCTGTCCAGTACTCCCTGTGGCTGATTTCCAATAGTTCCCTAACGGATGTCAGCTCATGATGAAATCATGTGGACAATCAGTCAAATACCTACTTACCAATACTTGAATATACACGTATATAATGTGTACATTTGTGTCTATGAGTGTGTGTATGTTACACATTACACTAGTTGCTGACTAGTGTCCAATCAAGAGTATCCAATATAGTCCTACAGGAGGCAAATTACGAGCCCAAATGGCTCAATGGTAACGTCTTCAATTGCAGCACTGAGTGACGCGGGTTCGAACCTCAGAAGCGACATAGGTTCTTTCAAGGATGCAGATACGCTTTGCTGACTGTTGAGTGCCAACTAGCTCGAAAACTGAGTCAAGTAAGGCTTCCTGTGCCCGACTGTCTCCAACCATCTAATGTATGTTGTTTGTTATGTGGAAAAAGTATCAGTTCAGATGTGAAAAACATGAAAATATTTTACAGAGGTCTCAACAAATGATTGAATATTTGTTTCCTTTTTTTCATCTGTTTTGCTTTATTGAAATCTACCATATAGGCGATAAGTCTATCCATTCTCTCCTATTCGCACTGTGGCTGAAATGCGCAAGGCTTCAGAGGTCAGTCTTTCTTGATGCGAATGAAAGCCTCTTTCTAGAACTTCGACATTGTCGAAATCGATTTTATGTCGACTGTCTATCACATGCATTGCTATAATTCACCTTCGTATTCAAAAACTCTTTAATTCTACTTCATTTCTAGACGGATGTTTCATGCAAAACACGTGTTCATTTGTGGTGAGAGCAGGCTGCTAGCCGATTGGTTGACACTAATCTACGTTAATGTCGAGGTCACTAATATGGGCCGTGAGAAAATATGAACAAGGCTGATTCAACAACCGACTGTGGTGAGAGCAGGCTGCTAGCCGATTGGTTGACACTAATCTACGTTAATGTCTAGGTCACTAATATGGGCCGTGAGAAAATATGAACAAGGCTGATTCAACAACCAATCACAGCAAAGTTAACGTGGCCAAATATGATTCTCAGATAGAGAACTCTATTTGTCAAAGAATCCCGAAACAACCAATCAGTAACCTGCGTTTGTCTGCAACCAGTCAGATGACTGCGCTTTTCTACTTGCATAAGCTATAATAATGTATGTGAAATATATATAAATATGTGTTGATTTTTATAATAAAACGATCTGTTGCCTGGCCCTTGTCTTCTGTTGTTACACATTCACTATGACCTTCACCTGCATATAGCTTTCCACTATATAGGAAGCCTCACATTTTAAACACCATCCTATAGGCACAGTTGTTTGTGTCATTTTTTGGATATATATCTTTGATATTCGGCAAAGCTTTCTCTAAAGAATTAGAGAGCTTGGAATAGACTTTAATATTATATTCTGGAAGTACTCTTCAAAGTTGTTCAGCTGTGTTATTTTGATATGAGGTGATTATCATCAATACCCAAGATTTTTCAGTTTTCTTTTGCCTCCCACCGTTTCTACTGATAAGCTTTTCGGATAACCATTTCTAATCAAAATTTGACTTATGTGGGAGATTTCGTTCTCTATATCATCGTTATCGCTTATGCTGCTTCTAACTCTGTTAACGAGATTTAAAGGTATTCAAAATTTCATTCCTTTTGGATGATCCGATTGGAAATTCAAATACCTGTTGGAATGTGTCGATTTTCTGTATATTGTAAACATTAGTTTCTCGTCAGTTTGTATTTTTACAAGACAATCAAGAAAGTTTAGAGTTCCCTCTGTTGATTCTACTTCATTAGTAAACTCATTATATTCTGAGGTTAAGTTGATCTCTGTTAGGGAAGTTTTCTTATTCAGCTTTCTTTATAGTGATAAATGTATCATCTACATATCTGTGCCATATTCTAGGATGACAGCTAAAACTTGTTACTGCTTTTCTTTCTAGAGCTTTCATATACAGGTTTGCTACAATTAAAGGTGCTGGTGAACCCAATGCAACTCGATTTGTCTGACAGTACAGTTTATCTATAAAAGGTGAAATATGTAGATTCTAAACAATGTTTTAAGCATTTTATAACTTCTTCTATTGATAATGAAGATTTAGCTAATACCTTCTGATTGTTTTTAAGTTCATATTTCATAATATCAAGTGAATCACATGTAGAAATACTGGTAAGTAGAGTAACCACATCAAAGCTTGCCATAATTTCGTCTTCTTCAATAGTTATCTACATTACTCTCCTTTTAAACTCCTCAAGATTTTTAATGTTCGAAGGAATATTGTATTGAAGAGTTTTTAGTATTCATGAGATGTATTTTGTTATAGTGTATGTCAGTGAATTGGTGAAATCAATTATTGGTCTTAAAAGAATACTTATTTTGTACTCTTTCGACCTTCCATAAAATCTTGTGACCATGTTTGTTTTGGGAGCTATTGAAAACCGTACTGAATTCCCTAGTTTTGGTTTGGATTTTCTGAGTAGATTACAAACTTGTGCTTTCACTTTGTTTAATAGTACTAGACGTTTTGCTGATTGACATTGACGCGGATGAATCTGCTTCGATATGTTCCAAAGCTTTCGTGTTATTAGTCATCTTTATTAGGAATCACAGTAATATTGTCTTTGCCAGCTTTAGTTATAACAATAGATTTGCCTGATCTTAATGTTTGTAATGTATGACATTCGTTTTTCGACAAATTTGGGATGATCTGCTTTTAATTCGATAGGATACATCCGACGTACTGACGTTATTCATTAGCTTCATCATCAGGTAAAAAGGTATTAATATAGGTTCCATGATGGGAGCTATTTCTATCGCATTCAGTGGTTTTCGAGTTATGTTTAATCCATTCTCAAGTAATACCGTTTCATGTTCATCAAGTCCTCTATCTGATAAGTTGCATACTGTTGCTGTGTTTGCCTGTACATTTGACTTATTTGCTCTGGAGTATGCTGCGTTCATATTTGTCTTTGGTGAGTAGCATTGAACCCCTTTGCAACTCGGTTTGTCTGACAGTATAGTTTGTCTTTAAAGGTAAAGTATGCAGATTCTAAACCAAGTTTTCAGAATTTTATAACTTCTTCTATTGATAATGAAGATTAGGCTAATACTTCCTGATTGTTTTTAAGTTCATATTTCATGATATCAAGTGAATCACATATAGGAATACTGATATATAGAGAAACCACATCAAAACCTGCCATAATTTAATTTTCCTCAATAATATTACCCATTACTTTTCTAGTGTTAGAAGGAGAAGCGGTTTCAGTATTCATGATTCGTGTTTTGACAAATAAGAAATTACTGAACCGGTGAAATCAATGATTTGTCTTAAAAGAACTCTGGTTTCATTGATTTCCGGCCTTCAATAAAATCTGGTGGCCAACTTTGTTATAGGAGCTATTGAAAACCAAACTGGATTCCTCAGTTTAAATTTCAATTCTATAAGTAGACTAAATACCTTTGCTTTCAATGTATTCATAGTACTAGACATCTCTTGTCATAATCTTGTCTACTTGAAATCACGGTTTTATTGCCATTGTCACTTTTGATTATGACAATAGATTTGTCTGGTTTTAAAATTAGTAATGCGTGACGCTTGTTCTTCTACGAATTTTTAGTTGACTGCTTTTGATTCGACAGGATACATTCAGTCTTCTAATACACTTCATCAGTTTCATCATCAGGTAAGATGTTTACTGTAGGTTCAATGACGGGAGCTATTTCTATCGCTTTCACTGGTTTTATGAGCTGATATTGGTTAGAGAACCATTGGAAAACCAGTTAGGAGTACTGGAGAGCTGTTTCGTCAACCTAGTTAGGGACTCGTCAACAGTACGCACTCGACGGGTTTCGAACTCATGACCTTCTGGTTACAAGGCGATCTAGCTCGTATACCATTAAGCCACTGGGACCCCGGTGGGTGGAGAGAGTCCCAAACTAGGACGAAACAGCTATCCAGTACTCCTAGGTTGTCCCATGGTTCTCTAACCAATGTCAGATCATGATGAAATCCTTTAGTCAATCGAATCCCTACAAACCAACATGTGAACACTAGGGATTATTTTAATTAACTTGAATAACTCGTTTAACTATGTTTAATAGTCTCTGATAGTCAGTTTTCTAGATAGCTGATTGTTATATCATGTTGGTGAGTTTGTGTTTCATGCTCCTAGGCTTAAACCCTCCCTTTTATTCTTATTGATACTCAACGAAGGGTTAGTTAATACATATTATAACCATCTTTACGTCTTTTAGCAGTTGCAATTGCATTGTCTAGCGAAAGATTCGAAAATGATATTATTATTCTATACACGACCGATGGTGCGACCACGACTGATTGATGAAGTACCTAGACTAGACTAGCCACTTCAAATTGTATCTACCAATGCAACTGCGCTTTTGGAGCAAGTTATATTGGCCGTTGCTCTAGGAACTTGATTTTTCGTGCTCGAGAACATCTTTCACTATAGTTAAGTGAAGGTGAAGTTAAAACCACCAACAGTTCAATATTGGGCCATCTGTTGCAAACCGGCCACAAAGCCAGCATTGAAGAATCCTTCTCTGTCATCAACCGGATGCCTAATAAAACTTCAAAATCATCCCAAACCGCATACTCCAAACACCAGAGGCAATATCAACTCGTCTCAGAAAACCAGTGCTCTGTGTTCAAAAGAAGCAAGCCCAGCTAGCCACTACTGTCCTGGCCGGCCTTCAGTAGAGACTATAAATTCATGAATTGAATTTGTAATATTATCTTTCCTAATTTTTCTGACATTCAGTTTATTGTTATGTTGATGCGATTCAGCTGTAATCTATCAATATTATTGATTCGATGTTATTTAAACAGCAACATTAATGTTGTTCATCACACTAATTCATTTATTCATTCACCATAATGGATATATAACTGTAGAGCCTGATGATGAAGAGGTTATTGAAAAGAGTACTCTTTGTTCAGTATCCATTTTTTGGAAAATGATATTGACCATTTACGTACGGTCATAAGTTTACCAAAGATTAAAAGTTTACGGTATCATATCTCCCACCCTCTCAACACAAACAGATACTGTAAAACTCTTGGGTACCTACTCTTTTCATTATTCACCGTGACATCCATGCTAATTTCATTGACAGGTTTTATTAAAGATGACGACTGTATGCGTACATCATAATTTTGATTTTTATCATTAATTTGACTTTGACCATCAGTTGTACTTGATCTGTCTAGCATATTGTTGAAATTTTGAAGTAATTCATATCTGTTATCATCCATTAAATTTGATTCGAGTTGTACAGACTCTTGATGATCACGATAATTGCTCATACTACTTATATTCTTGCTAGTAGTCGCAGTATTCAGAGAAACATTGGTTGTGACAGTATCCGTGAAATTGGTAAATTCATAATGTAATTCAAAGCCTTTTTCTATATTAGACACTATACTGTCTGATATGAAACGTAGCATAAGAAATTCATTGAATGATTCAATAGATTGATATTCCAATAATTTTTTTGCACCACATATTACAATCCATGGATTTGTAGTTTGATTTAAGTTGGTATATATTTCTAATCTGTCGCCAAGATGAGTTCTACAGCTAGATCGTGAATCAAAAGGGAAAAGAGAAAAACACTGTGAAGCCTTTGAAATATATAGTAGTTCATATATATATATATATATATATATATATATATATATATACGGATAACCGACAGATGGTGTGTATGAACAAAGAAAGAAGAAACATTAGAGAATAATAATCTGGATCCAATTTATTTCGTCGGTTCTCATCATGTGCGTACAACCTGAAGTTTTTAATAAGGTAAAAATAAAAAGTGTACAATTTTAACAAACCTTTGTCCATTAGCAAGCATATTGTTAGAGCGTCATAGTAAAATTAGGCGTTGCGATTTACAGGGTGTCTAAAGTGTTACGACATATTTATATATCTCGGTAGAGAGAAGTTTCTTGAAAAAAATTAATTAACAGTTGTGTTGTTGAGGTGGTAACAAAAGAAAATTTGTAATAGTTATGTAATTAGGTAAGAGAAAACCAAAATTTCGGTGCACATGAGATCAGATGAGAAGTTGATGATGTAATACAGTAAGCAGAACTCAGAAGATCAAGTAAAATTATCTCTTATGAGAGTCAAGTGAAAAATAAAAGGAGGGAGTGGATTGAAATGATAAGTTAACAAAATTAGAAAACAAAGAGTTACTTAGAAGTGAGTCCTCAGTGTAATTGAAGTTCAACAATGGATTCTTTTTGGACACATAAGTCAGGCTTCAATCGTTTTATTGCTAAAGCTTCAGCAAACCTGAGAAGACTTGAGGTACTTTGTCTGTTAATTATTTTGAATGATTCCAGCACATTTACTTGGTGTCCTGTGTCAGTCAGGTGTTTTGCGGCGATTGAAGAGCTTAAAAAATTCGGTCCTTTTAACCGGAAGCTCCTTGGTACATGTTCGCAGAATCTGACGTAGACCCTCCTCCCTGTTCTTCCAATGTAACTGCTCCTGCAGATCCATGTGAATCGGTACACGCAGTTGGAGGTAAATTTTTTTGGGTTTTCCTGGAAGCCTTCACATAAATGTGTAGGTGGTTTAGTGGTTCATCTACATACATAGTTGGGGTTTGATTCCCGGTTGAGGTACTCCAAAACCTCACCTAGCCGGTAGTATGGGGGATTTGGTGCTGTGAAACCAATTCTATAAAAGCAACACTTTATCCATTAAAGCTTTAAGGATTTGCGTTTCAATCTGAAGGTGAAGTACTGATGAAAATAGTCTACAGATTGAGTCTGTCAAATCAGAGTTTGAGAATAGAAACTTACTGATGATTTCGTATACTAGTGGTGTTATATAGCGACCAACTGTCTGGCAATTAATATATGCACCACTGAAGGGTCTCAAACTATGGTGAACATGTGTTCAATTTTTCGTGGTGTTTAATCGCAATCTCTTTTCTTTTTTATTTTCTTTTTTTGATTACAGCTTGATTCCACACCGTATTTTTGGTACATGTATGGAATTTTCAGCGTGGATATCGGTAGCCCAGAGTTCGCAGGCCGACCATAGATATGAGGTGTGCGTCGGCGAGGGCTCGAACCCCGGACCATGTGCATGGTCGGCGGGAGTCCTAACCACTGTGCCACCGACGCACACAGTATCTACCTTGAAATAATTACAGAAATGAATTGACATCATGTTTCGTCAAATGCAAACATTCATTCTTACAAGAATTAAAACTGCTGGTTGGTGTCAAGAAACAAAGAACCAACAGTTGAATAAGGCAAGAATAACCGTTCATGCAAAATAAAATAGTACCATCATTTATTTCGTTGACCTCTCATCAGCTGCATACAGAGCCTAAAGACATTAATATGTTTATATGCAGAGACAATATTAACATGCTTATCCACAGAGTTCAAGTTTATACAAAAATCTAAGTATGCATACAATAATAATAGTAGTAATAACTTTATTCCAAACCAAAACAGTTATACAGAATAGAAACTTTAGCGTTATGTAATCAGTTAAAGAAGAGAAAAACGGGCATTCAATTACCATCGCAAGAAAAAACTGATAACTGCTGCTTTCTTAACACATGAATCAAGTTTCAAGCGCTTGATAGAGATTTTCTCGGCAAACTTGGGGAGAAGTGAGCTCTTTTTTTTGTTTAAATTTGGACTCTCTGGATAAGTATGTTAATACTGTTTCTGTATGTAGACTTAATTATATGTTTAGGTTCTAGCTAGCTGATAAGAAGCCAACGAAATAAATGTTGATACCATTTCATTCTGCACAAACTGTTGTTCTTACTTTATTCAAATTTATAAAGGGGAATCAGAAAATGAAGAAAAGAAACTTTAATCACTTTTTAACTGATATAAAGAAATCTTTATTAGCTATCGGTAGACCGAGCACTAATTTAACACTATCTTCCAAAACAGACATTTATAGGCGTAAATTCACACACAACTATCAATCGACACCTAAATGTGCCAATACTATCTACGTTCAAACTTTCTGTCTAGTTTTTACCTAATATAAAAAGTCTAAATTATTTCAATACTACATCGGCGTGTCAATTATTCTTGATTTTAGTTACCGGCTAACCAGAAAGGAATTTAATCAAATCTGTTTAAGTATACTGTGGGAAACGAGAAGACCGGAATATCCTGGACCGACGTGAAGAACCTAGAAGACCTGGATTTCGCGCGTGGATGATTTATGTTTGATGTCACACACAATCGAAGACTTACAAGCGAAAACCGACAAACTGGTCGAAGAAGCAGCAAAGACAGGACTCGAGGTAAACATAGACAAGACGGAGGTTATGAAAATAACCAACCAACAACAGCAACAACATCCAACGTCAATCACCATCAACGGGAGGGATTCCAAAGAGGTCACTTCATTCACTCACTTATCTAGGCAGCATTGTCTCAACTACAGGAGGAGCGGACGAGGATGTCAAATCGAGAATCGGGAAGGCGAGAAACACATTCATCAGCCTGAAATCAATCTGGAAATCTTCGTCACTCAGCCAGCATCAACAACAAAATTCGGATTTTCAATACGGACGTCAAGTCAGTCAGTTCTTCTATACGGATCAGAAACTTGGTGAGCGGGTCACAAAGAATATTTCCAAAAGGCTGCAGACCTTTATTAACAAATGTCTTCGCTCAATACTGAAGATCAGATGGCCGGAAAGAATCACCAACAAGGAATTATGGGAACAAACAAAGCAAGAACCAATCGCCCAACAAATATGCAGGAGAAAGTGAAGATGGATCGGACACTCGCTGAGGAGACCGCTGGGTGACATCGCGCGCCAAGCCCTCGAGTGGAAGCCGAAAGGGAAGCGGCGTGTGGGACGTCCAAGGGTGACATGGAGGAGATCGTGTGAAGAGGAGTTGAAACAGTATGGACTAACATGGATGCAGGCGAAAAGTATAGCAGAAGACAGAAGAAAATGGAGACGTGCAGTTGAAGCCCAATGTTCCACTAGGAACCCAAGGGAGCAATAATAATAAAATAATAAAACACTGCTTTTCCGTACTAAGAAAAGAAAGTTACAGCCTCTTATTTATGAAGAACTCAGAGGCAGTTCTATGTGGCTGAGAGATCGCAGTTTTAACTTCTACTATCTGCAAGACTGTTTTAAATAGTTGTATCATGAATCTATCAGCGGAGCCTAACCAACTCGACTTTCTATTCCTCAAAACCTATTATTCGATCTAGTGGTTTGATTTTTCCAATAGTAAACATGACATCTATTCAGAGTTGAACAGACCAAAGTCCCTAATTAGTCTGGCTGGTGTGATTATTATTATATCCTTTAATTCCTAGAGGAACATAGGGCTTCAGCTGTGCGTCTCCATTGCGTTCGGTTTTCTGTCAACTTTTTCACCCCACTCCAAGTCTGCCCACACGCTTTCATCTCCTCTCCACATGACATTCTCCAAGTCACTCTCGCACTGACGACCAACTCTCCGCTTCCCTTTCGGGTTCCACTCGAGCAATGGCTTGTCTAGTGATGTCACTTGATGGTTTTCTTAGAGTATGACCAGTCCCCCTCCATTTCTTCCTGCTTATTTGTTGCACAATCGGTTCCTGGTCGGTTCGCTTCCAGAGGTTTCTGTCACTGATCTTTACTGGCCGGCCGTCTCATCTTGAGTGGTATTGAGCGAATACAACTGTTGTTGAAGGTCTGAAGTTTGTTTAAGATGCTCTTTATGACGCGCCAAGTCTCTGATCCGTTAGTGTGCGATGCTTTTCACTTATAAGTATTGGACACCAATCATAGGATTAATCTCATTCCCTATAGGATCTGTGATTGTGACAATCCTGGTAGACTTCAATGACTTAATGAAAGGATAGATGTGAAGATTAGGAATACTTGCTTCAGATGAAAGCCTAAATGGACAATGTTGCAATGAAATTAAGTCCGTAAAAATGACTAATAAAGAAATTGTGGAATTTATAAAGAATATCACATTGTTTAGAAACAATAGTCTGGAAATTAAAAATTAGGAGAAACAACTAATGGGTGTCACACCAATATCAAAATAAAGTTCCCATAGTCTCATTTTGTTGCGGGCAGCGAGGAAACAGGTTTACATGAACCCACAAAAAACTTCACCGATGATATATGTCTGATCTCCCACAAACTGAAAGATATGCAAATGAAGAGCAATAAGTTGGCTATAGAAGAAGCATCAAAGATAGGAGGGACTTCTGGTGAACATAGAGAAAACAGAGATGATGAAGATTCCTGGCCAACAGCAACAGACAACAATCAGCCTGCATAAATGGGAGGAACCTAAAAGAAACAACCTCCTTTACCTACCTACTCGGAAAGCATCGTTTCATCTACAGGCGGGACTGACTAGGATATCAAAGCCAGAATCGGAAAAGCAAGACAAGCCTTCACTACTCTTAAGTCTGTGTGGAGGTCAACAGCACTCAGCATCAAAAATAAGATCCGGATTCTCAACTTCAATGTGAAGTCAGTCAGTGCCAGCGCGTCACAAAGGCCAATTCGAACAAACTGAAGACCTTCATCAACAGCTGCCTTCGCCCAATACCACTCAAGATGAGACGGCCGGCCAGAAAAGATCAGTGACAGAAACCTCTGGAAGCGAACCGACCAGGAACCGACTGTGCAACAAATAAGCAGGAAGAAATGGAGGGGGACTGGTCATACTCTAAGAAAACCATCAAGTGACACCACTAGACAGGCCATTGCTCGAGTGGAACCCGAAAGAGAAGCGGCGAGTTGGTCGTCAGTGCGAGAGTGACTTGGAGAATGTCATGTGAAGAGGAGATGAAAGCGTGTGGGCAGACTTGGAGTGGGGTGAAAAAGCTGACAGAAAACCGAACGCAATGGAGACGCGCAGCTGAAGCCCTATGTTCCTCTAGGAATTAAAGAAAATAATTTTAATAAATATAATAATAATGATATTTTGTTGAAAGTCATTCCCTTCGAGAACTGGGTGTAGACGTTTCCATCTAATGCACAAAAAGTATTTTAACTTATCGACTGGAAATCATTTCACAATTTTATGATTTCATTCGTCTGTCTGTTCATCTTTCAGGAAGTATTATTTTTCAGTAAACGCTAGGGGGGCAAGAAACTGTTTTTTTGAATACATCTTGCCTAAATAAAAAGATTCACAGTGAAGTAGACTTATGGCTTGACATCTCCTTAATAAGATCATGAGGTGAAATCTTTTAAAATTACCAGTAGACAGGCATTAGAGATATGTTCTTTTCAAGTTTGCTGAAGCAGTTGTTATCAAAGGCATAAAACTTGATTTATGTGTTAAGATGGAAGCAGTTTGCAGCCTTTACAGCTTCCCTTTATTTGTTTATGTGGTCTTCAGCTTTAAACACTTCTTTTGTTATAATGCGATTTTATTTGTCTTTTGTTTTTGTGACTTGAGTTGAACTCACTGCATTATTACACAACTTATTCATTGCCTGTCACCAGCTATCTTATCAACTTGTCGTCGATGTAAGGCAACTCTATTTCGACTGTATTCAAATATCTTTCTGCTTAAACTTGTTTCTTCTGTGCATGAGTTATGTACGTATGCAAGTGCAATTTCTGGGCACTATTTATTAATTTTAGCGTCTCTTATTAACTGATATCAGGCCACTTTCCCGAATATGTTAAAATTGCTGTACACAGCTGGTAAAAGTCCGAAGAAATAAACGTTGGTGCCATTTTATTCCGTCCACTCACTAATTTTGCCTTTTTAGAATTCATAGTGTGATGACAGCTGTCTGCTAGTCGAAATTGTAGACAACAATTTACGTCAATGTTTACGTCGCGAATCGGGATCATGAGAATAAACAAGAACAAAGCTTAACCTTGAAGAACTCGTCAACCAATCACAGCACACTTAACGTGTGTATATACGAATCGCAGATATACAGCTTAATTATCTAGGAAACGGTCACAGAATAAAGTTGAGCAAGAGAACAACCTATCAGGAGACCATGTTTCTGTGCTAGCAATAACGCTGATAATAATGTTCATAAAAATCTATAAATATCTCTTGATTTTCTCAATAAACCATTTGTTGCTTGTCCCTTATCTTCTATCTTTACAATGGAAGGGAATCTGAAACAGATCCGTAATTTTTCAATATTATATACCTTTACTTTAAAGATCCAATAAATGTCTATCATTTGTGTCAAACACACTTTCAAGTCATCTTGTAAATTTTTTAAAATAAAAATCCCGCTAAAGTTCAATAGAACATATGGAAAAAATGCTCTTGTTGAAAAATTTAAGAAAAACTCTTTTTCAAAAAAAATAATAAATTCCACTACGTTAATGCACTTATCATCTCATCTATCGAATGACGTATAGATTCCCGAGGTCTGTCAGTACTTGAATTTTGCAATTTACTGTACGTCTCAATATGAATTTTACTTCGGGAGACTATCCATAAGTAAAGTTGCTTCTCAATCTGTCATAATAGTCAGCGTATGTCTTTTAGGATATCTGTCTTGTTGGGAAGGTAAATGTCTCCATATGTACTATGGAAATCAAACAAATCAATGTAAGATAAGTTGGTAGTGTCCATAGAAGATGGCCAAGTTAAACTTTAAGCACCACTAACTAACAGTCAGAGAATGACCTTGAATAGTCCAGTGAGTTTCATCCACGTGAGTTGAAGCTTCTATTTCGCTTGTTTCGAGTCTAATGCCTGCTCTAACACATTTGCGTTTGTAGTTTGGTGAGGATAAGATTTTCAAGTATCGCATGGACGTGAGGTTGCTTACGAAAGAAAGGACTTGCTCATGTGAAGGTGTCATGAGTATAAAAAGCTTCAGCAGGGGTCAGTCAGTGGAAATGTCCCTCGTTGTGGCATCTTTCTGAAGCCGAGTTAGTGTCAGGAAAGGTTATCTGATGATTCTAATATTTCATAGGAACATGTTTTGTCAAGTCTCACTTGTCCTTAACCAAGATTTTGTGTTATTGGTAATTATTGGGTAAAACAGCCTATGACAGCTGCTGAAACTGAAAATATTCTCGTATCAACACTTCAGTGGTACCAGCACTGCAGATGAATTACTTCTTTATTAGTAGGAGAAGGTGTCATTGTACACGTGGATGAAACTGTCTTACTGAGGAAAAAATACAATCGTGGTTGTGAACAAGCAAATAATTTTTAGGTGATTGTTGAGCGAAACCAAAGTACGCGTCACTCGTCAATCTGTTTTACTATCAATGGCTAAATGGAGTTGTTTTTAAAGTGGATAGACTTCTGTGTGGCGTTCGGAAAATAAACCTATTAGTTCATATATCTATTTTCTATCAAAAATGTGCATTATAAGTTTTATAATTGTATATCAAAGTATCAAAAGCATTGCTTACTTTATTGCCTTGTCAGCATCTAATTGCAGTGTTTGAACTGTAATGCGCACTTTTCCAGATTGTGGTGCTACAAACACATAATCTTTTATTTGATTCGGTGGATATACTTCTGGATAACCTGGAGAATATATTTTTCCACTGGGTGGATCTTTATCCCATTGAATAAATTTTTCCTGAAGAATTGATGGATTTTTTTCAGTGGCTGTAGAAACAGAAGATAAACTCCATGATGCACTGAGTGTTCCATAAAAAAATGGAGTTGAACAGTAATGGAAGAGTTAAAAACCATGATTTATTATGCATGGCTGCTTTGTAAAGGGTAAAACCTGAAATAACTTAATGTTAGAGTCCTTGAATGTAGCACTGTTTCATGCGAATTCATGAACGACCAGTAGACATCACTTCCATCAAGGTAGCAGAGATGCATTGCTGATGAGTGGCAATAAACAATGAGACCCAAGTGCTGAGATTCCTATGCATAACTCTGATCTACACAAGACCAAATCAGTGAAGTCAGTAGCTAACTTGACAAATAGTCATCATATTGTGTACATTTCCTGTGACTGTCACGCGCAGAACTGTATAATTCTAGATTAATACAGTTTAATTTGAGGGCTGCGTGACGTTAAATTTTTCAAAAATTTTGATAAACGTTAACTAGTTTTGAGAAGGCATTACATTTAAGAGGAGAGGCTCTTTGAAGACTGGAGGTTAGGTGGACGAGACCTTCTTAAACGTCCCTAACGTTTTCTAGCCTCGTATTTAGTACCGAAGATTGCACACTGTCTTTCCTTAGTGAGAAGTAGAATTTAAAATACTCCACAGGTGTAGTCATCTACTAATTCAGTAGTGAAAATTTAATTCACATAATTGAGGAAGATAACAGATTGAGTATTGTCATGAGATCTATCTCATGGAAATCTATCTACCTGGGCGGTTAGTGTTGGTAGCTCTCACTCATGGGGCCCTAGCGTCATTCCTCGAGCAAGGGTACTTTCTGAGTCAGTTTTTTAATCATAGAATGCTCGCCAACCACACAGGTTCATCTTTGACTTCCGGTCAATAAATCCCTTAACCCTGTCAAATCGGTGGTAAACCTTGAAGACTCCATCTCTTGAGAACAACACCATCTCTAATCAAACTTCGTAAGGAGCTATAAAAAGCTATTTCCCACTCAAAACGCAAATCAATAAAAGAAAGAAAACGGAAGAATGAGTGTGATTCTTATTGGTTAAAATATTATTGGCTATGGACTTATCTATATAATTTAAGTCCTTAATAGTACTTATGAATCTTTACATAGTCTAGGCGTATAGCATCTTCTACTTCGTGTATTGATTTTTTGTAGAATAATGATTTCACCCTACTGTAGTCTAGTTATTTAATGATATCATTACTCGCCGTCTATCTTTGAGACTAGATTGGTCAATCTACGCGCCCACTACTTCAGGTTCACTTTTGATATAGTGATAGATAATAGAGCAAGGAAAACGTTCTAGTAGTCTAGATGTGGCTATATTCTGATTAGTGTCTCCTCAGAACAAATATCAAAGAAAAACCTCGTTTTTTCCCATGAGACCTAAGCTTTTTGGTATACATTCCATTCTTTCTGAATATATGTTAAAAAACCTATGTCTCAGGAAAACAAATGCTTTTATCGGTGCTTTTGTCAGGGACCTCGTTGAAAGGAGTAATGAGATGAACACCTTAAAATCCTACAAGATTATCAATAGACAGTAGAATTCAACACTACTCTCTCTGTCTCTGTATATATGCTTTATTAGTTTTGAGAGAAACCTATGAGATAAAGGATGGCGTCATCCTATTCTTCAGGAACTATTGTTAAAGGTGACTAGAGGTGTGAAAAGAAACAACTATTCATGAAACTGTAATTAAATTGGGACGTGGCTAGCGAAGTATTGCATCAGAGATTATCGAGAGCGATAAAACGGACTTATACTGCCGCCACCCTCTGTTTATCATTTTCCAGCCGATCAATTTTGATTGCTCAAGTGAGAGATAAGCTACCTAGCTGTGCCACTTCCATGTGTATCTATAAATTTAGTTGCTCCTGTGGAGAAAGCTATATAGGCCGAAAAACTAGACAGCTTAACCAATGAATTAATGAGCATCTTCCTTCATGGTACTTATTTCTCATACTTTCAGACCATTTATTCTTCAGTACATGGAGAAGACAGGTGTCATTGAATGTACACAGCCTGTTGAAAGTGATCCTGGTAACTTATGTGCCAAGCCTCTGAAGCATGTAGAAGAAATGATCTGTAACTGGTATTAAAAGATTGGATCTTCTGCCTTTTGCTGAGTGCAATACATTTCCATACTGGCTTCAGATCAGTAAACACCCATTCACCCAGGTAAGGGAAATGGGAAGAGAAAACTTGGATTAGATTTCACCCGTTGATGATGATTGGTGTGTCTTGTTGTTGGTTGTGGGGGATACTTCATCACCTTTGACTTCTCCCTTTTGCCTTAAGAGTTGTCTTTGCCACTTCGTCTACGAACCTATGGCTTTTTGCTTGTATATTTCCAAGTCTATAAGACGCCAGACATAAGTCATTCTCGAAATTCATGTCCTCTAGAATTTTCTTTTCGGTTAAAAGTATGTCTGTCTTCAGGCTTATCATAATCTACCGCCTAATCCAGTCCACTACAGTCAGAAAAATCATCGATGATAGTCGTCACCTGTATTTGTTGGTTCGGAAAAGGTCAAATAAAGTCCATACGAAGTTCTATTTTAGCTCATTTGATTGATAGCGGTCATCAAGTGGACAAAAATAGTGCCTTCAAAGTTATCCATCGCATTCCATCGAGTCTTTCGGACGGAATCAGAACCCGTCTTTTACACAAAGCCGAAGCTATGGGAATTCGAGAGAACAATCCTAGTCTTTGTATACAAAAGAAGTTTGTTATACCTTTGTCTATCCCTTGGCCTAGATGGATTCTATTCAAAACCCACTCACCCTTTCTTATCATCCATCTCCTTCGTACTTTTATGATATTTATTTAAACTCTGATTATCGTTCCATTTCACCTTTTAAGATTTGACCTAATTTATTTATTTATTGAATTGTCTACATATACACATATACTATCTCTATTATTCTTATCGCCTGCATAAACCTTATTATCAATATTTTATTATCATTATAATCATCGTTATTAATTTCGTTCAAAACATTTACCACATTATTATTATTATTTGAACCACAAAATCACCGTCATTGGTTAAAATATTTTATATATAGGCCTATGTAAATTAGAGTAAAGCCTGAAGAAGATCTAATTGAAAACAATATTGTTCGCTTATATGTCTTGTTCTAAGCGATTTGAAATCACGTGTGGATCCCAGTGCATTAAAGGCACTCAATGAGTACTTGAAGTGTAATGCCAGACTCACAGAATCGAAAACATGTTTAGATTTTAAAAAGTACCGAATACTTACTTCCATAGTAGTAAAAACTCCAGTGTCACTTACCTATGTCAGAAGAAGCGAAATCCATCTTCCCATTGTCATCAATATGCCGATTACTCGATAATTCACGATTGACGAGTAAGCCTTTAACATTCAAACTGTTCGTGATTGTCGGTTTCACTTGATTTTTGTGTACAAAATGATATCTAGCCTCAAAACCTTGTGATTGTCTATCATCCTTATTACTACTAAATGTAACAAGCATATATGGACCTTTAGAGATAATTTGTACATCGTTGACCAGTTTACCAGATATGTGTTGAATAATTTGAGTTGGTTGAAGTATCGGTACATTGACTGAATGATAAAATGAATTTAATGCTGATAATGATGATGTGGAAAATACTTTGGAGGATGATACACCGGGAGACTTTATTGGCAGCTGACTTTTCTGTGCTTCAGATATTTGCAAATAATCCCCATATGAGGAGAGTTTACTGCTCCTTGAATGGTAGAAGTAGAAAAATAACATGAAAGCGTAAAAACAGAGGATGAGAGTGTTTTTTAGATATGATAGAGAAGATTTCTAGCTCAGATGGATAATTTTGATGTGGTTGTGTTCTCTGAGCTGCTTAGTTAATTTGCAAAGCTTTCATTACCCCACTGGGAAACACCTTCAGCACATACTTCAATTTGAACTGATGTGAGCTTTCGGATTTCTCCACGAGTTCACTATTAGTCATCTCTTCTGGTGACCACCTTGAACGTGATTGGTGGTTTCTGTGTGCTTTTACGCCCTCTTGTATTGACTTGAACTTTCACCCTTTGTGTGTGAGATTTCCTTCTTATCGGTTGGTAGACTTTATCTATCTCGATGTGTCTATTGACTGATGATTCACTAGAATAGGAGACAGCCTTCTAAAACTTGTTTAGCACTCTTGGTGTTTCCTTTGTTTAATAGTTGAATGTTTTTCCAGTCTAACTGATGTCGGTATTTGTCTGTATGTAGTGATATGAGGAAGTGGATGTCATACCATATGTAAAGGACATTTCAGAAATCACTACAAGACTCTTCAAACCCCTAGGAATTGACGTCACTCACAAACCAACAAAATCACTCCACTCAGTACTATGTCAACCAAAAGACTCAGCAGCAAAAGAAGATAAAACCAACATCATCTACAAAATAAATTGTGACAACTGCGAAAAACACTACATTGGTCAGAGTGGACGTCCCCCTCGTCTTTGTATCAATGAACATTAACTAGCCGTTAGAAGACATGACACCCACTCCCTAATATCACTACATACAGACAACTACCGACATCAGTTAGATTGGAAAAACATTCAACTATTAGACAAAGGAAACACCAAGAATGCTAAACAAGTTTTAGAAGGCTGTCTCCTATTCTAGTGAATCGTCAGTCAATAGACACATCGAGATAGATAAGGTCTACCAACCGATAAGAAGGAAATCTCACACACAAAGGGTGAAAGTTCAAGTCAATACAAGAGGGCGTAAAAACACACAGAAACCACCAATCACGTTCAAGGTGGTCACCAGAAGAGATGACTAATAGTGAACTCGTGGAGAAATCCGAAAGCTCACATCAGTTCAAATTGAAGTATGTGCTGAAGGTGTTTCCCAGTGGGGTAATGAAAGCTTTGCAAATTAACTAAGCAGCTCAGAGAACACAACCACATCAAATAGAGTGTTTTTTAAATGGATAATACAGTAATTGATTTACTACCAGAGCCTTAGCCTTCTGATTTAAAATGCGTAGAAAATGTAGCCTTTTTTCTGATGAGACTGCTGGCCGAATAGACACCTGATACCTAGAGACGATGTCTAGTGCTTGTTGCTTCTTGTTAAGATAAATTTGCAAAAGTGAACTGGATTTTCTCTTTTCTGTCGAAGAATAAAAATTAACTTCGTCGATGGCATGATAAATTTGCTTAATTACGAGTTTCTGTCAGAACAGGTTAGTAGGTCACTAACAGAGTAAATGTAAAAGATTCATTAATATCCGCTTACTTGTATAGACGATAATGTTAACAGGGATTCAGGTCGCTAGTGTAGTGAATGGCACTCAGCTTTGTTTTGAATTAATAGGTGTACAATAAGAAGATTTAACATATAGAGCGTGCAATGAGAACAATATTTTTACCGTAAGTGGATTATTTCAGTCAGTCATATTACATCATACTAGATGCACTGGGCAGCAGGAAGTGGATGGTGATCTATGAAGTTATGGTGCTCCGGTAGTTCAGTGATGAAGAGCTTGCCGACCATGCACGTGGTCGGGGGTACAGTCCCGGCCGTCGCACACCTTCATCTTCCTTAATCGGTTATAATCTTGGAAAAGAGGGAAGGTACATCGGGCAAAGTTCAACAAAATTGGCCCAGGAGTGCGTATGCGCGAATGACCTTCAGCTGATCAGTCATAAAAATGAAGAATGCTTTCTCAAAAAAATGATGTATATTGACAAGAAAATGCTTGAAAACCCATTAAACAGGTTATCTTTCTCTGGCATGGCATAAATATCCATTCTAGTTGTAACGGGGAGTATCAGATGCTAAGTTAGACTAGTTTCTGTACATGTATTCACCGAGATGATTACAGATAAACTGTTCTTGTGAATCGTTTATCTCTCTCATCCTGCTTGTAGTCTTCCAAGAAAGCCCTCGGTTGAGATATTATGGTTTCCAGGAAGAGGACAGACGACTACTTACCGGGAAGACGTGGATAATAAAAAAATTAAAATAAATGGCATCTATTATAAATCTATCCTTAGTCTAACCATAAGCTTAATTCTGACTCTAACACTAATCATAACCCTTATTCAAACCGTAATTCTAACCCTAATGCTAATTATAACCCTGATCCTAAACTTTACCACAATACTTACCTTAACCCTACTCCTAGCCCTAACGAGCTATTAACGCATTGTCCAAACAGTACTTAAAAACGTGATCTGGGTGAAATTTGCTCCTTAGTTGATGAACAGCGTTGATATTTCAGCTATGATAATAGCAGATGCCGTTAGCACACGACTAGCATGCGTTCACACTCCTTGGAAGCTATTGTTGAACTTTGTCGTACATCGTTATGCTAGCAACCTCACACCGTGGAAATATCATCACCTCTAGAAAAATTTTAAAGCTTGAATCTTTATAATTCGTTCGCAAAGCAAGGAATGAGCCTGAATATACGTATGTGCTTGAGAACATTGAATCCTTTCTAAAGATCCACCAATTCAAGTATGATTGAATAATTAACTCTAAAGTCCTGACGAAAAAGTGTTTCAATAAGGTCTTACGAGCGGAAACATTCTCATTTAGATAAAGGACTTACCTGTTAACTACATTTTGTATTTGTACATTGATCAAGTTGAGGATGACACGTTCATGCGATTGACCAATTAAATAATAATTACACACTATATTTGAAGGATAATTTTCAGGATAATTAGGACTAAAGAAATGACCAGACTTTGATTTACTTGATCGATTTGTTATTGATTGTATTGACTTTTCTTCATAAAATGGACTTTTAATTAAACGATCACAAATTGTTCCTGTTACATGTTGACCATCACTTGTATATCGATCTGATAAAGTGATCGGAATATCGATTAATCATTGGGTTTTTTTAAAACTATACACTGTATAATTTAAATGTTTTTATACAAGAGTAAGGAAGGCCATCCTTCCTTATTTTGTGATAAATATTAAGGATAATGACTGGTAATGCTGTATAAACAATTCTACTATTATTGATTTCTAAGAATCACAAACTAGGACGAGAAGGCCATCCGGTACTCCCTGGTTTTCAATGGCATCGATCCTCAGGCAAACCTAAGACGAATCAAGTTCCTACAAAGTGACTTTCTGGCTACGTGACGAGTTTGCCTAGAGTTCTACTGAGAAATCGCCAACAGTGAAGTCCGCTTGGTCGAGAGGGAGGAGAAATAGAAACCAATGACAATGGCTGATGCTAGTCACGTGAAAATCACGAGTTGGTAGAAGTTAGAATTCATGGGCTCACGACTGAGTTAGGTCCCAGAGGCTTAATGCTCTACAAGCTCGCCTTGTGGCTGAAGTGTCATGAGTTCGAACCCTACTGGTGGGTGGGTGCATACTGTTGATAATTCACAAGGTAGGACGAAACAGCTGTCCAGTAATTGGTTTCACCGATTATCATTGGCTAGGTAATTATGATTCACAGGATTTCGCTTTAATCCCTGGGATAACAAAGCCTCCAGTGTACGAACTACATCAAGGTTATGCTGTTTTAATTCGTTTTAACTATTCAGTATTTCCTTTATATCCAGTTACTTACTCAAATGTATTTAATGCGGCGAGTGCTGCTGAAAGGACCTTATAAGTAGCATATAGTGTGTGGTGTCTTATGCAGCAAATTGTAAAGTGAGGTGACAGATCATGTTGTGAAGATGTGGAATGAAAGATTTTTGAGAAACAGTTTAAGAAGCATGAAAGTAAGACGAAAATTGAACAAAAAGAAGAAAATATGCAAATGGAGTTTTTAATGTGATTTTTCTGCGTCTCGCCATAATAGAAAATCGCCTCACTAGGTAGATCATCCGGTATTAAAAAACGTCAAGTCTCTCCGTCACACTCAATGTCACCACCGCTAACCCGATGAAGAACCCGTAGCATACCTTATTTCGTAACGGAAGACTATCAAAGCTCCCTCCATTGTTTCCGAGCTGTTTTCATGTTGGTGGACGTATTGGGCCGAACGACAAAGACAGTGCTACTCGGAACGCTGCTGAGAGGTTGAATAAAAGCTGTCTAATGCACTTTGTGTAGAATGGATGTAGAGATGTCGTAAGAGAAGGATATTCAGCTGTTGACTTTACAGTTTGATAGCTTGGCTGACAAACATTACGCACTGCAGAAATTTAAGAGCCCATAGCTTGGTGCAGATATAAACCCATTGATTTTGAGAGTAACATCGATCTGGGATTTGCGTTACCAACAAAAAATGCAGATGGTAGCTCCTCATTTTATAGAATGCAATCCTACCGAAATCTATTGGTAGCTGCACCTAGTGAGTAAAGTTCAACCTTTGGACATAGGTGAGCTGGTGGAAATCACATGTTATTTTGTGCTTTCTGTATTGTTTCACAGGGATATCCGTTTTTAAAGTACCTCTCGATTTCATCCCGCTCTCTACGTTTCTCTTTAGCTGTCTCCACAACTGCCCATTAACTGTCATCTTCTACTTACACCATCTCGTAAATGTCACGTTTGGAAAACCTACTCGCCACTCCTCATTCAGGTTCCGCTAGACGACTTGCCACATGTTGTCATTCAGCAGTCTCCTAAAGTGTGCCCGGTAGATCTTAACTTTCTTTGGTATATTTGATGGATAATAGGCTCTTGGCAACTTCATTGTTATTGTTCCTTCTTTCTGATCGTTTCATGCTGACCGTCTGATATTCAGTATCCAGAGAAGGCGGCTGATAATAGGAGTCTAAAGCCTATTGGAAATGCTCTCAGTGATGCACAGTACAAATCTCTAAAGCATATAAAATTGCTTACTAATTTGACTCTTCGTACTAAAAATCCGAATTTCGTTCTTTATGGTCAGTGCACCAGATTTCAAGATAATGAAGGTCTTCTAATCCTTCTGTTTCGGAAGACATTCATTTATTTTAGTTTTAATTCAGTGAAAACTGTTTGGAATCGCCAATTTTAGAAGGACCCAACTGGATAAAAAAACCAACAAAATATAATGAAGTCTTTTTATTCTCCTCATTTTGTTCAACCTGCTTGCACAAGAAATGATATACAACGTATTTAATGAAAGCACCAGCTTTCAGAATATGCAGATGTGAGTTCTTTGGAACTGGAGCTAAAAAATATCCTAAGAGCACATCCAATAAATTATTGACATTGTGTGTAGAGGATTGTATCAACATCAGCGTTCTTTCTTGATCTTTTTTTAAGGGTATGATCTACATTAGTTTTATCTCTTATTTTTATTCGATAAAATACAAATGAGTTAACTTTAGATGCTTCCATTTGTATTTTTCTGGTTCACTCAACTTGATTACTAAGAAGTCATTTTCAATAGTTTTTCCTCTTTCTTTCTTTCGCTGTTATTTCTTCAGGTGATGGTTTTTGTCAGCTTCCAATAAAACGTTCTTTAATCCTTAGGTGCATACATTACAGAAGGTATCTCTTGACAGTCGATACTTCAGTACATAGCCTGTCACACTCTCCAGTGGTGTTCTCCTGACTTTGGTTGTTCTATCTACCGTGAGCCACAGGATAGTGAGCGATCTAATAGTTTTGTACAAGGTTTGAAGAAGGCTTTATGCTATATGCATACACCTTGTCCTGAAAATATTTGCATTCACAGCACAGTAGTCGGACTACTTGTCTTTTAAACCAAGAGATTGGAGTTTGATCCTCCCTCGAGGCAAAGGATTTGGGTCTTAATGGCTGAGTGGACTACGAGGAGGTCTTGTAACTGGAAAGTGCTGGGTTCGAATCCCAGTGTGCTGTTTCTGCTGAAAACTCTTTAACTAGGACGCAACAGAAGTCCAGTACTCTCAGGTTTACTGTACGCCAGTGGCACATAAGCAGAAAGCTTTAGATCAAATATGTGGTCCAGGGTTTTATCAGCACGCGAGGCACCCTTAAACCTCGCTTAGTAGGTATTTTTTATTTTTTTTATTTTGATTACAGCTTGATTCACACCGTATTTTTTATACAAGTATGGAATTTTCAGCACGGATATCGGTAGCCCAAATTTCGCAGGCCGACCATAGATATTAAGGTGTGCGTCGGCGTGAAAAGAGTTCTTAAATAGTTTCTGAATAAATGACGACTCTCAGTTACTTGTTCTCAAAACAACTGCTGATGTAAATGTTATGTCTGTATCTATTTGAACCATCAGAAACACATTGAAATGGTAAGTGACTGGAACACATTTATATCACTGAAAATAAACATATGAGTTTTATGTGGATTTCGAAAGCATAATTTTTAGACCTTTTGAACATCTCCATAGTTACTTGGAAGTGGATTAGATCAGCATTCTTAAAAGTTCACAGTGATGAATTTGTTCCGTTCACATTTGTATATTTAATAACGTGCTAGTGAAGAAGACATGTGGGAGATGATTACCTCTAATCAGGAAAAAAACAATGACAGCTATCTGCTTGTAGTGCCCTTAAATAAACTGATGAAGCCGGTCTTGTAGTAGTCATATAGCTAAACAACAAACTGAAGAGTGAAGTATCTTTTACAGTGTACAAATATCATTGGAAATGGAAATCCAGTTTTCTGTATGAAGTGAAGACGCGAAGACAAAAGTAAAAAACCAAGTTTAGCAACTTTTTTCATTTGGATCTTCAGCATACAACACTAGATGAAGACTATTTAAGATACTACTTATACTGTTTTTCTCTTACAAAGATATCTCAAAAGTAGAGGTGTTTATAAGTTTTGAGAACAATCTAAATGAAGAACACTATCCACCCACCAAGAGGACGTGCTAAAGATTTGTATTTCTGATGAAAGATTCGTCTACACCATCACATGTCTACTTCTTTCTATTCTGTGCTGTATTTTCTAGCTGCCTCCATAGTTGCCGCGAAACTCTAATTTAATCTTCACATGATCATCTTTGTATCATTGTTAGATACCTAACTAGCCTTTTTTATTCTGGTGCCGCTCGAGGTCCTGACGTGTCATGTCTCCTCAGCGCACACCCTATCCATTTCAATTTCTTTCTACATATTTGTTGAGCAAACGTTTGTCGGGTGGTTCTGTTTTCCATAAGAGGTACTTATTTCTCATACTTTCAGACCATTTATTCTTCAGTACATGGAGAAGACAGGTGTTATTGAATGTACACAGCCTGTTGAAAGTGATCCTGGTAACTTATGTGCCAAGCCCCTGAAGCATGTAGAAGAAATGATTTGTAACTGGTATTAAAAGATTGGATCTTCTGCCTTTTGCTGAGTGCAATACATTTCCATACTGGCTTCAGATCAGTAAACACCCATTCACCCAGGTAAGGGAAATGGGAAGAGAAAACTTGGATTAGATTCCACCCGTTGATGATGATTGGTGTGTATCGTGTTGTTAGTTGTGAGGATACTTCATCACCTTTGACTTCTCCCTTTTGCCTTAAGAGTTGTTGTCTTCGCCACTTCGTCTACCAACCTATGGCTTTTTGCTTGTATATTTCCAAGTCTATAAGACGCCAGACATAAGTCATTCTTGAAATTCATGTCCTATAGAATTTTCTTTTCGGTTAAAAGTATGTCTGTCTTCAGGCTTACCATAATCTACCGCTTAATCCAGTCCACTACAGTCAGAAAAATCATCGATGATAATCGTCACCTGTATTCGTTATCCTTTTCTTCACTTCCAATGCTTCACTGAGCTTTCCGTTGTAAAATATTAAGCATGTGTTATCGTCGTATAGTTGTTTAATGAGATTTATAAATGTCCGTGGTACTACTACACTCTGTAGTGTTAAGGCAGCTGTCAAACTGTGATAGGGTCAAGTATATTTATATAGTATTTATTAGTCCATTAGTGAAAAGAAAATCTGTAAAGCATTATG